TAGTTGAACTTGTCCATCATGATAGTCATCCCGACACTGAGGTCAGTTGTAATAGAACTGCTTGTTTAATTGCTGGGCAATCCCTGGTAGTAAGATGCACAGGGAATCCAATGCAGTTCTCCTCTCTGGGTCCTCTCCCACTTGGAGGAGTTTGGGGCCAAGATGCTGAGAATCTGGATCTCTTGCTTCTCAGATCTCCCCTATGCATTCTTTGTTCTAGTTGGACTTGGCTATCTCTCTTGGGAATTATCATCCCTGACTTTGACAACATCGCTTCTGACATTTAGCCAACCTGAGATTTGTTTCTCTTCCCCATGTATCAAATTATACTCATTCTACAAGGCCCAGTTCCATTCCCACTTCATTCATGAGATCCAGCCAAGCCCTCCCATACAACTCCCTCATTTCCCTCCACACCACCACCATTTGCAGGTCACTACCTCATATTGATTGCTAATGTCAAGCTCCATGATGGCAGGATCCTGGATTCTTTTTCTTTGTAACCTTAAAGACATGTGGATAGATATATTTCATAACAGAACATATTCTCTGAGGCCCATAGAACTCCAGGTTGGTTTAAAATGGAAGAAAAAATTAAAGATGGGAAGTAAGCTATCAGAGAATCGATTCCTGAGAACTTAGAAACTTTTCATCTGCCAGGACTGATGCCAACCTCCAAATTCTACCCTGACCCTCCTTCAAATCCCTATCCCCACCAAACTTCCCAGGCACTATGAACTACAGATACTGCTGTCAGTAGAAATAGCCCCATTTTCTCCTTGCTTGAGAGGGTACTGACTTGCATACCAAATGTTGGGGATAGAATAAAATAATAAGGTTAAAACATATTTATCTTACTCTTCAAGATGGACCTGTTTTAAGCATTTTACACATATTAACTCAGTTAACCTCACAGCAATCCCATGATATAAGCAGCACCCTAGTAGTACCCTTCCCTCCAATTTTACAAAGTGGTAGACTTAGGTTAGTTACAAATTCTTGCTATCCTCCCATCATGAAGTGAGGTTTATGTTTCCTTTCCCTGAAACTTCGAAACCCGGAAAAACTTTCACTAGGAGCCCTGAACCTCCATGAACTAGAAACTACATAGAGAGGCACATGGACCCAGCTGAGTCCAGTGTTTCTAGTTAATGCACCAAGACACAAGGTGTGTGAGTGAAGCCAGACTCTCCAGACCAGAGGAGCCACTGAGTGATTTCAGTCAATGAATGCCCTGTGGGGCAGAAGAATCGCCTTGCTGAGCCCTGCCTAAATTTCTGAGCCACAAAATTGTGAGATCCAATGACACAGTTGTTATTTGAAGCCACTAAGTTATGGGAAAATTTGTTTCATAACAACAGTTAACTAGAACACACATGACTTGCTCAGAGTCACTTAGCTGATGTGAAGAAGATCTAGGTTTTAAACCCAGGCAGCCCGACTCCAAGCACATGCATTTAATCACTGCTCTAGCCTTACCACCAAGGAAAAATTAAAATCGTCCAAAGCACACTGATCATTCTGGAGGAAAAACTATCTGTAAGCCATGCCACTTCTGGTTGTTAAATGATGATAAGGTATGTCATAAAGCCTATTTTGTTTTCCAATTTATTCAATAAATATTTATTGAGCACCTGTCTTTACTTGAATACTATCACTCACCCACCTGCTTTCTCAATGTACTCACCTATCTTCTCAATGCACCCACCTGCTTTCTCAATCTTAACTCTTGTGGTTTTTTCTAATATTCAGGGGAGGATCTAGATACACTTTTCTTTTTTTTTTTTTAAGATTTATTTATTTTAGAGAGAGAGTGTGCACAAATGGGGGGGGCAGAGGGAGAGGAAAGAGGGGAAGCAGACTCTGCACTAAGAGGGGAGCCCGATGAGGGGCTCAATCTCAGGACCCTGAGATCATGATATGAGCTGAAACCAAGAATTGGATGCTTAAATGACTGAGCCACCCAGGGGCCCTTAGATACACTCTTCTTAATATAGGGTAAAGACCTGATGCTTGGGCACCCTAGCTGTGAGTGATTTAACACAGTCCATGTGATCCACAAGCAGTACTGAAACAAACTGGAGTATCAGAAAGATCAAAGTAGTGATTACTTCTAGGAGGCTAGAGCACTGAAGGGCCATGTCAACTCAAAAACTATTAGTTTATGTTCATACACAGGTAAGAGCAGCACTGAAAGCACTTTGCAGTTTTACTTTGCTCTGAAATCAACACAAACCAAAGTCAATCAGAAACGAACTACTCAAATGTTTCTTTAGCTTATGCTTTGAGAAGGAACCAGTAGATTATCATATAATCAGATGGTTTTAGACCAGGTTTTTATGCTTATTTTATTTCTCCTGAAAGAGTCTAATTTTAGGACAACCCTGGTCTATCAAGGCTATCAAAGCGAAGGAAGACAGAACAGAGTATCATCTGGAAAAAGCTGTAAGATTTCACACATGACTGGCCTGGTAAACATGAAATCCAGACTTCCTCAGTTCTTTTTTCTCCCACAGATCAAATTTTTATCAGTCCACTTCACCCTAGAAAATTAGCTGGATCACACAGGACATATGAGAACTTCTGAGACTGACCTTCCTCACCCTAAGTCCTCAGAGGCTGGGAATTGTCCTAAATCTTGGGTCCCCAGTCCTAACAGAGGCTTGATGTAATCTGTACTTGAGATCAGAAAAGGGTTGGAGACAAGGCAGGCTACTGAATTTTTATGGAGCCGAGGGCAAAGTTCTTCTTTTTTTTTTTTTTTTTGTAGTTTCAAGTTTTTATTTAGGTTCCAGTTAGTTAACATACAGTGTAATATTCATTTCAGGAGTAGAATTTAGTGATTCATCACTTACACAGAACACCCAGTGCTCATCACAATACATGTCAGGGCAAAGTTCTTATGGCTAGTTGGCAAGAACAAAAAAGTCCAAAATCCTTGGCATCAAATTATTTCCTCTAGCTAATCTTTACAAAGAATATGGACCTCTTTGATCCCTCATCCCAGTCCAATCCAATTCTGCTAGTCTGCTGTCTTTTCTTTAAGAGTTTGCATTTACATACCCTTAAGAACAAGAAGGTCATCAGATTTATAACTCCCCTTTATAGCCATGGTAGAAGCAAAAGGAAAGATATGTAGATCAAATCCCATTATCATTGGACTCAGGAAAAGAAACCCTCATGGGAGGCTGTTAGAGAGGGCATGCTCCTGCTGTCCACATCTTTCCAAAATGACAACAGATTCTATGGTGTTCAGAGTCATAATCACTTGCAAGACTTTTGTGCCTTGTACCCTACTCTTCTTTGGAAGTTCTGGCTTTCTTCGTTTTTGGAAAGACTCACCCAGTGTCCTCCTCTCTGTGTGTTTGCTGCAGGAGGAAAAGCCAAAAACCGGTGATTACCATGGCTTAGTCCCTGAATCCCTGTGTAACATTAAGTCCTCCCAAGGTCAGTAAAAATTTGGCCTTGAAAAAGATTACACGACAGCCACTCATATGAAGAAAAAGCCATTTGCTCCTCTATTTCCCACAGAGTTAACGGAATGTATTATGACAGAAACAGAACAAGTCTGCCAGGACCTGGGCAGACAGAACTATCCTTCCACCAACCATAAACAGACCTGCTCTTGAGCTAGAGAGAGTCATAATAGAAATATATATTGCCTTTTATCTTCTTTTCAGTGAGTAGAGTGAAGTGTCAGGAGTTATTGGTTTAATATCAGTAGAGAAGAAGCTATTTCTTTTTTAAGCATGTACATAGGTATACACGTAACGGCACACACAACTATATGACTGTTATGCTAACCCGGTTCTTAGTAGCGCTTCTAAAACACATAAAATTGGCCTGATAACATCATCAGTGTATACGGCCTCAAATTGTTCCTGTGGAATCATGTAAGGAGCTGTCTGGGTATTTCTGCTCAAAGAAAAGGGAAAAGGAAGACAACACTTTTACCTCTACTTAACTCACATAAACTTAGCTCAGAAGAATGAGAACACATAGGGGGCTTAATTGATTATTGACTCTACGTTTACAATGCCCACTGAAATCAATGGGAGGGTGATGTCAAAGGCTCGACTGATGCCCTGGATAATGTCTTAAAACTAAGAAACAGAAAGGACAAGTCCTGATCTACTGAATCTTCTATAAACACTAACTAGGCTCGGAGTAATTTCCCCACAAGCAATTGGAATGTCTTATTTTATGCCACAGCATTTAAGGCTAATAACTCGATTAACCTCCTATCCCCTACTAACTAGATTTATGAAATGCCAAGGGAATCAGCAAAGCATTAAACTTTAGCTTGGGTATAATTACTTTTAAGTGAAAAAATAAAACCATTACCACAAAACTAAGTACTTCCTATATAGCTAAACTCAGACCTTCACAATTTCTAATGTAATATAGGATCTTGGTCAAATATAAAAGAAACAAAATGGATAAAAAATAACAAGTGATTGATCAACACTTAATAACAAAACAAAGACTGCATTTTATAAGCATTAGTTGAAACTCTAGCTTCAGTTGCCCTTTATTTAATGCTATCCACTGGCCTCAAAACTGAACAATTCATGTTAAAGCAAAGCCACTGAGAGGATGTGAATAGAACTGAACTAGGATAGAGTTTCCCCTATTGTAACAAATTTTCCTTTGCCCATTTTCCCCTTTTTTATTGAAAAGAAAAGTAATGAAATGAAAGGAGGAGTATTTCATACTGAAAGTGTTAGCCATTGCTCATTTTGAATAACAGCTTTACTGTTTCAGCAATAAATATGATAGGAATAATAACCCATGAGTGCACGCAAAACTTTTGTAACTTCTTTAGCAATGAATTTTTCTCTACTCCTAGATCTTATTACTATGAGCATCGGTAGGCATCCTTTCTACAAACATAGTAATTCAGACTCTTTAGCAACATAGCAACACTGACCTTATAGTAATGTCTCAAAAACAAACAAACAAAAAAATCAGAATCAATTAAGAATTGGAGAAAGGATTACCTGAATGCTTGCTGTAGAGCGATTTTTGCGGGTTGTGGTAGTAGCCATTGTAGTGGTGGTTTCCATGACAGTGGTAGACATTTCTGGTGGCATGGAGGTCGTCTGTGTTGTTCCCAAGATTGACGGGACTTCTCCCACCAGCCGGACACTTCCATTGATTTTAATATTGGGGTTGTTCTCAGCTGCCATGTTCAGTACTTTCAAACCATCATAATAGAGCCCAGAGAGCTGGCCTTGGAAGAGACGTCCTTTGTCTTTTCCACCGATGGCTATTTGCGCCTGGGTGTTGAAGATGGTTAACTGCCGGCCTAGTGGGTTGGGTGGAGGAAACATTATTATTCCCATATGTTATCTCTCTTTGCCTTGCCTGGTCTCAATGGACCAGGCATCAAAACAGGCTTCCGTGAACAAATGAAGGGGAGAAAACTGGATAACAAAAATTCAATAGACATTAGCAAGTAACATTTCACTATGTTTATCTCTTCCACTGTCTAGCTGAATATCCTAGATAAGCTGAATAATTCAGTCTCTATTTCATTATTATGAGGAAAAAGAAATCTTGGTTCAAAAATTTGCAGTATTGTGGTCTTCTTGGGTATGTAGTTGTGGATGACAGAAAGTAATCCCCAAATCAGGTGATGACAGTAATAAAGCATAAATACCTATCACACTAATTTTTAACCTACAAAGTCATATAAGGGCAACTAAATAGAATTATAAATGTCAAACAAAAACTCAGTGAGGTGACTCAGAACACTGAATTAAAAAAAAAAGATTGATAATAGAATTAATTAAAATGAAATGAAATTCCAATTAAAAGACTTGGATTCATTGCATACTTATAGAAATGAAGTTTACTCACAAAACACCTCATTTCCTAGAAATCTTCATAATACATAATATTCTATCTATACTTGCTGTTTAATAAACATCATGACAGATAATTTCCTACCTCTTTTAATTTGGGGGAGGAACGGGATTATGGTAACACAACTATATCTCTCCCTAAAACATGGGAAATAAACAGGCATTGATAATGTTTCAGGGGTGGGGGAAAGAAAAAAATGCCATTACAAATCAATGAATTTAAAAAAAAGGGGATGGGTATTCAGGAAAAAAGCAACACATAAAATTCCTTAAAACGATAGGCATGTTCATGTGTTGAAGACTATCAGTAGTAGTTCGACGTATTTGGAGTCCCATTTGGGGAACCATTTGTGTTTCTGTGAATAGAAAACTATCAGAATGAAATCATGACAGAATAGAGTTTAGGATAGTGCAACTCAATTGATCTTCTTCCCAACTACCTCTACTTAAAAAAGCCTCTCTTAAGTGCTAGATCTTTCCCAGAAAAATACAAACAGCTTTTTAAGGCTAAGCAATTCTATGCTATTATTTCTTCAGATTATTTCCTTCTGCTTTTCCATATGGAGAAGGGGGAGAGACTTATTAATGGAATTAAATATATCCTTTTTGAGTTTTTCTTAAGTCAGGAATCAAACAATATTCCACTCATTCTTAATCTAATCACATGCATTATTTTAGCTATAAATGGCTGGAATGTTCTGTTATTCCTGCCTGCTTATTAAAAGGGAGCCTATTTTTAAAAGACTAGGTTTTTGCCCCCACAATCTCTGATATGAATAGAGGCATACTGTGATCTTTGGGCTTTTAACCTCTACCACTATTACACGGTCTTTAAATTTCTACTATGATTAGCTATCCTTGAATTTCTAGTGTATAATGTGGAATGCCTTCTGAATGTATAATAAGGGATGAAATGGAAGAGTCAGAGAAGGGAAAATGTATCTGCTCAGAAGGAACTCTTTATACAAGAGTCAGTTCTGCTCATGGCTCATGGGGTAACTCTTAAGGGCATATTAGTCAAGAATGATTTATGAATAATACCTTTTTGGAAGCTTCAAACACTGCAGTATGGAGAATTGGCCAAAGAATTTTGTTATAGTGAAAATGATCTGCACTCTATAAAAATATTTGGAGCATGGAAATGTTATCTGTTGGATTTGATAACAGAATTGTCCAGATCCTAAGGGAACAATCAAAATAGATCTAATAGGTTTCCATTATTTTCCCACCAATTCCTTCAGTCCCTAGTGCACATGCATCATCGCCTGTCCTTTGGCCTCTCATTTCTCACATAAGATGCAGCAAAATGTTCAGTGCACAATAACACTGGATAATGGCCTGGAGCTCAACTCTCTTTACTGTTATTTCTTTGACAACAGCTTTTTCTAGGGGGGCTAAGCTTACTGCAAAAGAAATGTCATGATAGAAGGGGAGAATAATACACCCTCAACCTTGCATAGATGTTTGTGGGCAGCTTAACATGATAAAGAAGGAGCTGCCTAAAAGGAGATCTCTAGAACTCAATTCAGTAGCTTACACTAGAGAGCCCCAATGTCAAGCTATCCCTTCCATTCACATAACTGTCGGCCAACCATAATATTTATTCATCTCCTTTTTGGAATATGCTCTAGCTCTGATGATCAATGAATAGGGATAGCTAGTTATAGGTAAGAAATTTTATATTTCTAGTATTTCTGAAAGTACTTCACATCTGTAATGGTCCTCACCTTATTTTCCTAGTGATATTATTCTGCCAGTTATTACAAATAAAAAGAGGGTCAGGGAGAATTGAAATGCATAGTTGAATTACAATGGCTAGAGACGTTGGATCTCCTTCATTCCAGTTGCCAGAGTGTACTGCATAAAAGGGTCTTTGTTTGAAACTAACCCAAGCATGGAGAAGGGCAAGACGTGTTTCCTGGGCCACAGGATGAAGCCACTGCTCCATGTCTTGTTATTGCCGCATTCCCAGAGAGATCTAATGGTTTCTTGAGAACAAGACACTGGTGGAGTGAAACAGGGAAGGAGGTGGTCTATCCTTCAGTTCTCCATCATGCTGTAGGAAGTGTTTGGATTTTTGTTTGCTTGTCTGATTCACAGTCTATGTCTAGCTAGATCTGTTTTGTTTTTGTTTTGTTTTTTTTTTGCTGTTTCCGGATCCTTTCCTAGCCCTTTGTACCTTGGATTGGGTAGTTAAGAGTAAAGCGGGCAGTCACTAAAGTAAGAGTGGGAAACTGAGTCTCCTGTCAGCTCTTCCTGTGATCAATTTACCTCTCTCAGCCAAGCAGGGGTAAGTGAGTAACTGAGAACTGGCCTCTCCCTCTGAAGGGTTATTATAAGGGGCAGACTGGGGTAAGTTTTATCATTTGCCCCAGATTTCTCAAAATCAATGTCAGACCTCATTATTGTCATTCATTATGATAATTTTTTTTATAATAACTAACTATGATATCTATATCTATATCCTAATCTAAGAATTGTTCTATCATCCATAATACTAAATTTGGTTATACTGGCACAGGGTTTGTAGCAGGTTACTGTCTGCTTTGTTTTGGGTGCCCATCTTCTTGGAAGTCATTATTGTTACCTCATTTGGATATCAAGTTCACGTACAGCTTAAATTAAATCTTTGCATGTCTCCAGTCAGTGTTGCACAAAGACTAATTAATTAAACCTCAGAACACCCTTGGGGAATAGGCAGTATTATTTCTCCTCTCCCCAGATGGGAAATCTGAGATATAAAGAGGTTAAATGGATTGTCTAAGGTCAAAAAGTATCAGTCAATAGTAGACAGAGCCAGAAAACAGACTCAGGAATGCTGTGACCCAGATCTCTTCTCCAATGACAAAAATAACTCCAAAGAGGCATTCCAAGTGCTTCCTGATATGTCTGCCTATTCATCCTTCCATCTTTACCCTTTTTTAACTCGTTGTCTTTACAGGGTCTTTTGGTATATATTTTCTACTCCTTTTGAAGGAAAGGCTAGCTAGACAGAGGAAGGGGTAAAGCAATAGAATGAATAGATGTTACTCACCCAAAGCATTAAAAAAAGTAATTTCAGTTAAAATGGTGTAGAAGAGAAAACCTCCAAATTTGCAAACAACCATTTTCAATATTATATGCATATATAAATACATACATATTTGGTTAAGAAACTAGAAAGCCGCCCTCCATCCCATGTGACCCACCCCGCCCCCTCGGATTTGTTGGTCTTTCGTCCTTCTATATGAAAGCCAACTGATAACAATGCTATCAGAAGGAAAACTAAAAGCCTATTCATAACTTTATAATGGTTTATACAAATGAAAACGCCTGGCATGCTCTTAAACTTAGAGTTCAAAAGGCGATGGAGTAAAAGAAAATATTATTAACATAAAATTGAAAGAAAAAAAAGTTCTCTCAGGCACATGAGACTCAGACATGCATATCTAGTTTTCTTCTCCTTTTTAAAAAGTGAGGCAATCATAGTCTTTAGTGTTAAAGGGACTTTATGAGCTGGTGATTACTAACCAAAATTATTTGCTTTTTAGAGTTATTCTTAATTTATTTTTAATTAGACCACATACGTTAAAAACAGGGCAAACAGTTAAGACTCAGTGAGGATTTTCCGTGTTTAAGGGTCTAAATGTTGTCACCCAACTTAAAACTGTAATTAAGTTTGCTTAAGTTGCATATTAATATATTCAATTGCTTTTTATGTATCACTCAATCAAATCTCTATGAATTTTAAGGACTCACTGAAGGTCTTGAGACAAGAGTAGCTTGTACTGGCTCAGGAAAGAAGGGACTACATAGCTTCTGGAAACAGAATTTTCTTCATTGAAAGATAATAGTTCATGTCCTAGCAAACAGAAGCCACACAGAAAATTCTAACATCAGGTATAACCGCTGCCCTCTTTTATTAACAAAGTGGTTGTTTTCTACAGCAAATCAGAACTGCTGTTTTGCCTTTCATGAGCCTTTCTTTTCCAACTCATTGTCTTAGCCACTTGCACTTTTGTTGCATAAATATCAAACACATAAGGGTATTACACAACCAAAGTGTAAAAAAAGCTTTTCTTTTCTTTTTTTTTTTTTTTAGTTTCAGCAAACAACTAGGACACAATTAACCTCTTATGAAACACTTTTGCCTCTGTTAAGTTTGAATCTAAAGGCAAAATTCATCTTTCTCATTCTTTCTTCATTTAAAAACAAATGTTAGAAAACACTGCTCCCCTTATAACATTTGTCTTAAGCAGTTTAAGTTACAAGAGTAGATCTGCTGATTTTTTTAGTTATCCACGCTGGAGAGTAAAGCCAAAACAACCTCAAGATGTAAGTTTAAAGAGTACTTTTGAAATTTCTTTAGAAAGCTTTGGTATAAGCGGTAATTTAAAACAAATTAACAAATAATGTCATGCAGTGGTTAAATTGCCATAATACATTTCTTTTTTTAGAGGTT